AAGAAGTATATTGAAGTTCAGTATCCGCAGGATTGTGTATTGCTTACAGGTATATACTCCATTTCAGAATCACTTGCCATAAGTCACACACACAGTCAACTATTTAACACTTGTAATGTGGATTGCAGGGCTCTACGCTTTCATAATGCTTTAATAATTTATAACAGCAGATTCTGTAATTAAGGGGAATCAGAAAACAATACTGACAGCAGTTTTCAATTTGTCTTTCCTTTTTCTCCATCTCCTTCTACAGGATGACAGGAGCTTGCTTTCAGCACATGGAGCAAGCAGAGAGCATAGACTGGTGCTCAGGTCTGAAATACACTGCCTTACACATGTGGCTGTTCTTGGAAGTCAACCATTTCTGCAAGTTATTCTCTAGAGGTATGATGTACTATAAGCACTTAAGAAATGTGTTGCACTGTGACTGGAACCAAGATGAAATAGCAATATTAAAAGAGATGTTTTAGTTTATGTAGTGGCCAACTATGCCATTAAACTAGAACAATGGAGATGATGTGGAGGCAGGAATGTTTTCCAGTGTCATTTATGCCTTTCCATAGGAAACTTTTCCTATAGGCCTGAAAATGATCCTGTCTGACAAGTGGAAGTCAGCATTAAGATGTAAGAGATTAGCCACTTTGGGATTCTCTGCTCTCACACAACACCGGGATCTCCAGGCCCTCTGCCAGGATGGGTCATTTCAGCCTCCCCACCCCACAAACACTGTACCTCAGCATCACTGGTGTCAGCCATTTCAGAACAAGACAAAATGAGGCTTGAAGACTTGATTAAAATACACAAAGAAGGCTCTACCACAGAGTCAAAGGCAAAACAAAGGTTTCCTTGATTCTGTGCTTTCAGGAAACGTACGTTCCCCTTCGAAGGATCAGGGCTTGCTGCAGTTGAGAGCAACTGAGTCGGACAAGGAAAGAGGAAAACATCAGTTCAATGATACAGTGCTATTCTCACCAAGATCTGTTCTGCCCAATGACACGTGGGAAAGGCTGGCTGTCTTGCAGTATAAACCAGAATATGACACTCAAACCCTGCAGATTTTAAACTTCTGAATCAACCACACGCACGGTGGCCCTGTGCAGCTCCCTGCCTGTTGTGCCCTGGGAATCACATGCTAGAGAGTGCTCTGGGGCCCTCACAGATAATGAAGAGAGTCCCTCAATATATTCATCAAGACCTCTTCTCCACAGAGAGATGATGAGTCCAAAGACCTCCAAAGGGACAGGATAGTAGGGCGGTTTGAAGTTTGAAATGCCACATTTTCCAATTACTGGAGATGCTCTCTGCACATTGATCTTTTAATGACCCCTCAAACACTGCTGTGAGGGCACAGCACAAGGAACAGGCTGAAGCCCCAGGTCCAGCTCCTGCCAGTCATTACTTTGCAGCCCAGCCCACTGACAGTGGGACCACGTGCAGTTCCACGGGATACACTCCTTGCAGCCACCTCCCTCAAAACCAGCCTTCTGCCTGCTTCCTTCTGTGAAGAGCCACAGGGTACTCCCCAGCCTCGTGCTGCTCTCCTTGCAGCTTGATCCCAGTCTCGAGGATGCCACATCAGACGTCTACTCCTGGTGAGCAATGGCGTGTGACCAGAGCTCATGCTGCAGGGCAGCAGCTACACAAGCACTGAAATCTACCTCCAGATGGATTCTGAAACACGGAGTCAGCTCACAGGGACAAAAGCGGCCCAGACGGTTCACATTACTGCAAGGATGGAGCATCAGGCAGAAACAGACAGATACTGAGATACCAGCCAGCTGGTGTACAGCAAATGCCTGATTTTTCAAAGCACAACCCACCTCTTTCTTTTATCTCTCCTAGTGCTGTGGCTGTGCAGTGCTGCTTGAAGAGACTAAACAAAGTTCTCTTTCTCCTGATGAAGCTGCGTGACTTATTAGATCCCAACCTCCACTCCAAAACACTCCTAACCTCACAAGCTCTTCAGCTGAAGGAGGACAGCCAAAGCTGACACAGTAAAACCAAGCATTTTCTTGCCTAAAACCCAAACCTCCCCATTCCCACCAACATCTGTTTTAAAATAATGCAAAACACATCATGGACTCAGTTCCAGCTTTGCTCCAGGTATTTCTACTTTTATTATGTAAAATATATCTGGGATGGAGTGATGTTTTTTTGTATTTTTTCCTCCTGAAAAGGAAATATAGGAAGGAAGAGATGACAAAATTCACTTGTGTTGTACATATTTTGGGCTGCTCTCATTCAGCTCCAGTGCTGTCAAAAGTGTAAATGCCAAACTTGCTCACGTTTCTCTTGTAGTGGGAAGGGAAAAAGGGAGAGATCAGCTGACCACATGCAAGCATTTAGCAACCTGCCTGTTGCTGCCTGTCGGTGCCCTCTCTGAGCGATGGTGTTTCACAATCGGAAATATGAGCAACTGCCCAGCTGTGAAATCCTCAGCTACAAAAGCGTGATCCAGAGTCAGGAGAACAGGGAGTCAGGACTGTGGCAACACTGATGCTAGAGTGCTCTCAAATCATCAGTGGGGCATGCACATCTTTTATAGTATTGGAAAAGACTCCTAGAAGCAGCAGCAACTGGCATGGACTAACCCCTCTCCATAGAGGGCCAACAGCCTGATAATCACAGAAAAAACTGAGCTCATAGCCTGACCAGGAAGCCTGCTCTTGACCCACACAACTACTTCCCTCAATTTAAGAGACTCTGAAGTAATCTCCTGGGGACATGGCTTTGCTGATGTCAGAAGCACTGCTTTGCAGCCACCATGAAACTCAGGTCTTGCACTAGAGATCTTCATGGGAGTGGAGGCAAGACCCATTCAAGCCCTTTGCTCAGAACTAAAGCTGCTGCCCTCAGCCTCAATGCTTCCTATGAGGATCAGTCAGTGCCCTGACAGCTTTTAGGGATGCCTTCAGGTGCACACCCACACACATGCAATGTGTCCTAAAGCTGCTACGGTTTGCCCAAAGTGAATAAATCCCTAAGACCTGGCGCTGTTCACAAGTGACTGAAATCGGGGTCTCTATGTCAGTGGGTCTGCCAAGCCCATGTGGCAGCATGCTCAGCACAGTGACAGCAGCTGCTGCCACCAGCGATCCACCAGCTTTGCTCCCCCATTGTTTGCAAGGAGAGTCCAGGCAGCAACAGGGGAGAAAAACAATTTGTAAATACAGGATGTATTATGAAACGTTGGGCACTGCTTGGAAGATTTGAGGGGAAGAAAGGTAGTAATTTTTTCTCAACTTTGCTTTCCAAATACGCTGAGAGTCAGTGGGGTTTAACCATTTAAGGGTTACATTTCAATTCTGCAACACTACAAGTGAGCTTGGGTAGGTACTTTGTTCCATATCAAACAAACCACTGCCACACATAAAAGAAGGCAGTAGGAGACAGAGTATCACGCACAGTACTGCCTAAAGCATGCTGGCTATGTCAACACATTATCTCGCTTTGGTCTTCCCAGGCTGTTAGTAATATGCAACCCATCCAACAACAACGATGCTATGAAATTATTATTTTTTTTAATGAAATTATATCAACCTCTTCAGTTTAATTAGCATGTTAAAATTATGAAAGGAAATCAGATGTGACCACCATGGATATTGAGCGGAATATTAATAACAAGAAGCATCCCCACCCCCTTGGAGGATAAAGCAAAGTTGGATCAGTCATTTTGCACATTAAATCCTGGATGTGTTCACATGTAGCTGTCAGTAAACCTCTTGTAGGTGTGTGCACACACAAAGCTGTAACCAAAACAGTTTTGCTAGGGCAAACCTTTAAAGATCCAGCGACAGCACAGCCAGATGACAAAGCTACAGCCTGACCAGCCACATTTCTCCCTGCACACGTTTGTAAAGAAAATTAAATAAATGTTCCACATTGTCACTTGCTGGAGAACTAGCACAGATTGCCTTTACACTAGCCAAGACTAATGTGAGTGCTTTCAAGACAAAAACCAGTGGCCCATTATTTCTGAGCTGATGGTGCCATGGTCTGTGCGTGGCATTAGCACCACATGTCATTCCAGCCACACTCCACTATTCTTACTCACGAGCACATTTTTTCTGTTAAAGAGACACCAGTTTAGAGGATTCCAACTGGCGTGTCACTTCTGCCAGAAAATCACCTCCATAAACAGGGCTACAGGGAGGAATGCTGCCTTCCCTCTCCTGGCAGATAACTATTTATAGGTATATGCATTTGGGCTCGTCGTTAATTTCATACAGCTTCTATCTGCCACCAGCCATCATTTCAATGCATTCATAATACACAATTTCCACCTTTAGAACTACCCTGATTCTTCCTGCATGTAACCAGAAGGCGCTGGTGATGGGAACCAGCCAGAGGCGGCATTGTCTTAAGGCACGGCGAGAAGCGTGCACTTCTCTTCATGCTCCAAAAAAAAAAAAAAAAAAAAAAAAGAGAAAAGGAATAAAAATGAGTTGCCCCCTGCTTACAGAATTCAGCTTCAAAGCTTTTGCCTCCACGCACCTGCCCGCACCCGCTTCTGCTTTCAGCTAGGATTTTTATTGACATGTACTAATTACCTGAAAATAAGAATGATCTACTCCGTTTCCACCAGCTGTCAGCACTGGCTGGAAGTGATCAGCCTCACTTAAAAGAACAAAAATAACGAAAAAAAAAAAAAAAAAAAAAAAAAAAAAAAAAACTAAGCTCAAAAACGAAAGGAAATAAAAGCAGGAGTGGTGACAAAGGCAGACCTGGCGGCTGTCACCGGGCCTCAGGTGCTCGGACAGCTGCGGGCAGGCAGGGCTGCACGGGCTGCTCAGCTGGCCGTGGCAAAAAGAGAGAAACGTACAGCTCTACCCACGCGGAAAAAAAAAATAAAAAATGGAAGAAAAAAAAAAAGAAAACCAAAAGGAAAACAACCAACCCTGAATCAGAGAACAAAAAATGAAATAAAAGGCAGAAGCGCAGCCCCGAGGCACCGACTGCCTGCACTTAAGAGATTTACAGGAGTAACGTAAAGCATTCACCTGCTGCCAGTTCTCCTCCAAGGATGGCAAAGCTGAGAAGTAGCCGGTGTCGTGGACAAGCTGCAGTTCCTGGAATATACTATAACTAGCCAAGACATCCATGCTGCTGCCGGCCGGCCCCTGCTCTGCTTTGTGTGTGTTTGTTTGCTCTGGAGGGGGGTGTTTGGGATCATAAAAAAAAGAGGAGGAAAAGCAACCAATGATAGATCCAGCGTCCCTTTTGCTTTGTTTTGTTTCAGTCACACTTCAAAAAAAAAAAAAAAAAAAAAAAAAAGAAAGAAGAGAGGAGAGGCAGGCTGTCAGCGCGGAGGGGACGCGGGGCCGGGCCGACGCGGCCGCGCTCCGAGCACCCCGCGCCCGCCGCACCGGGGCACGTCCCCGTCCCCGTCCCCGTCCCCGTCCCCACCACCGCGGCCATGCGCGCTCGCGCCACCCTCCCCGCCCCCTCCCCGCTTTATTTTCGGCCCCCCCCGCCCGGTTCCCTCTCACCCTCCCTCAGCAAACCCGGCCCAACTCCCCCCCTCCCGCCACCGCCGCCTCACGGCCGCCCCGCCCACCCCCCGCGCGCAGCCCACTCAGGCAGCGCGTGACCATGTAGGGTAAACGGCGGGGCGGGGGGGGCGGGGCCGCTTCGCGCCCGGAGTCACGGCGGTCCAATGGAAGCGCGAGGAAGGCTTCGGGAGCGGGGCTTATCCGCCTACCGCTCGTGGATTGGCTGGCGGCGAGGCTTCCGCCTTCTCCCCGCGGCTCGCGGGGCGGTGCGCGGCGAGCTATTTTTAGGGCGCTATATAACGGGGCGGCGGTGCGCGCGATGGCGGTAGAGCGAGGGGCGGCGCGGCGCTCCTCTCGTGCCTCGGGCTCGCGGCTTTTGCCGCTTTCAGCAGAAATTCGCCGCTCTTGAGCGGCTGCGGGGCGGGCAGCTGCCGCGCCACTCCCCGCCGCTGGGCGTGCGGCCGGAGGGGAAGGCCCGGGTGGCTGGGTAGGGAGAGGGCCGCTTTCGTGCCCGGGGCCTCTGAAGAGGAGAGCAGCCGGTGAGCGAGGGAAGCGCGCTGCCGTGGGGCCGCCGCCGCTCCTCAGCGAGGGATCCGCGCGCACTGCTGGCTTCAAGCACCCGCCGTGCGCAGCTGGCGCGGACTGGTGCGGGGCCCTGACGTACCTCATGCTACGTGTCCTGCCCCGACTGATGGGAGAACGTGAGGCGGCAGAACTCATCGGTGTTAGTTCGTGGTACACTGTCTTTCTTAGTGATGAAGACAAATTACCTTTTCCAAGATCGAGTCCATATTAACAGTTACAGAAGCCCCTCTTGAAGAGTGCTTCTGAGAATAAAGCTGTTTCCCTGACAAAGACTGCACCAAGGCACGTGTTTTCCAGGCTGCTGATGGGCAGCACCGCCATTGTTTTTAAAAAACAGTAAGCGCTACACTCTCATTTTGGGAGCCAAAATATGGAGGAAAAGTGGGAAGTGAAACTGCTCCACAGTAATTGGGAGAGACTGGACAGGGGGCATTTTTTCACATAAATGGTCTCGCCTATGCAGAAACACGTGTGGATGCAGGTTTTGACCCCTGCCTTCATGCTCCTTCCTGCCAAAGAGCTCAGCACGGGCTGGGGCCAGGCTCGGAAGGATGCCCATTTCTCACACTGCACCTCAGGAGCTGTTGGCTGTCTCGAGCGTGGCTATCTCCAATGCTTTCATCCTCACAGAAGAGCTGGATGTGAATAATAAATTGCTCTTTCTCATAAACACACCCACAAAGGTAGCGAAGCACATGTTGGCAGCAAGAGGAGAGGGAAGGTTAGCGCAGTGAGCGCTGCTGAAGGTCCTCCAGGCAGTCGTTACCAATTCCAGGCATGCCTCAAGCTGGCACAGCAGTGCCTTTCTGGGACACCTTGAAGAGCAAAGAACTCATCTAAGGTGGTCAGATATGATAAGGAGCAGTACCAGGTATTGTAGCACAGCTCCTGTACTGAGAGGCTTTGCAAGAAATAGCTGTTTCAGAAGAAGATTTCAAAAAGCAGCACTCCTAAAGAGATTGTCAGAACAAGGCCACATGCATATGTAGAAGCTGTCTCTGACCGAGGTAAGGAAACAGGACAAAAGCAATAAAGATTTATAGCATGAGCTACTTAAACATACACTTTATGTTCAAATCCTGTAATTCCTGTGGCTGAAAAACATTTTGGTGCTATAATTCTGTCCTTGTTAAGCATAACTACCCTTTGATTAAGGCTGTTTAGTGCTCTGATTGCCAAGCCATCCCTGTAACACCAGTGCAAGAACAGTGGCCTGCATGAGCTGTGGATTGCTTGTGCTTAGATTTATTGGAAAGTTCTGCACCTGCAAGCATCTGTGTGCAGACAGCCCAGGAGTCCCGTCTGCTCTGACAGTCACATATGCTTGCACCAAAAAGCTCTGGTTTGAATTGTCACTTAAAATCTTTCTGTCCATCAATTTTGAACTTCCTGCTGAAGGCAGGCCCCTGTAGGAACAACTTTTTCACTCTTGTACTGAAAGTTGTTCCTGGTGGAACCAACACTTTGCACCAGCAAAAATCCCTGCCTATGCCCAGGCTGCACTGTAACTGACAGCCAGATCCTGTGTGCAGCTGCTGGTCTGCTGCTCTTTCTGGCTTCAGAAGAAATTGTGTGAGGGCAGGATTTTGGCTGTGAGCCGTGAGGTGAAGAGCTGGGCTATGGATCTGGCTGCATGCCCAGGTGGTTTCCAGGCAGACATTGCATTTTTATTGTCTTGGATATTCCGTTTTGGAGGTCAGTCGAGAAAGCAGAATGGGGTTATCATTTGGCAGAAGTAGAAAAGTCTGGACAAAAAAATGAACGTGATGATACACTGAGTGTAACGCTCTCAGTCCGGCATCTGGGATAGTGTATAGCTGTGCTAACCCAAAGGTAATGGAAAGCAATGTTTGCCATACTCCTTTGTTTTCCAGGATACACTGACCTTACTCCTGGCAGATAGCCACTCTCCCTGCTCTGGCTCAACCACGCTGCCCATCAGAGAGCAATGCAATCTCACATGGAGGAGGAGCACCACCATCACACAGCTGGGCTTACGGGCGTTGAGGTCTGCACAAACATAGAGGTAAAGGGCACAAGTTTGGACCTGCAGAAAGTTCAAGGGAGAACATTCCAGCCCTAGCACAGATTTGTCCTGAAATGGGTAAAGACAATAGCCTGGCTTGTGGAAGGATTTTTTAGGCTAGCCCTGAAGGTATCATTGCTGCACTTGCTGAAATGTTGGGAAGATGCAGGGAGTGGTATGGCTGACCGTACCATAGCAGTAATGGGTCTTGGCTCCTGGGAAGAGGAAAAGGCTAGTATTTTTTGCATTACAGGGCCATGAGAGTGGTTAGTCCTTGTGAAAGGAAAGAAAATGTTTCCTTGTTCCTTCTGCTCTTTTGAAGAAAGAGTAGAGGTGACTTCTCTGTTTTCTGGAAAGAGCTTGAATGTCTCATTGCCTGCCACAGGACCTTTGGCAACAATCTCTTCTACCCTCTCCAAGTTGGGAGTGCAGAACTGCCCCCTGCATTTAAATGGGTTTCTGCGATACACCAGTGTACACAGATTCACAGTTTTGGTCAGTCTGATTGCTTTCCATCGTCATATTTCCAGCCCTGCTGACCCCAGGCGTGATAGTGAGGGGGTACATAATGGAGACCCAGCAGGGAAGGCTGATTTGCTGGGAACTCTGGTGTTGTTTGCTTCATTGCTTTAAAATGGACAGTGACAAAGTGCCATAAAGCCATAGGGTTGTATATCAATTAACTGTTTAAACATGTCACTGAATTTATTCCCTTTGGTACCAATAAAACAGTTATGCTTAGATCCCCTGTACGCAGCTCGGGATACAGTTTTAAACCCATGGTCTTCATAGATGGCAAAAGTACTGAAGCACTTTCTCCAGCAGGGGCAAGTTATTCTAGGTGTGTAGGCTATGAGTTCTTTCTACTGTCACATCTGTGTGTTGTCCTGCCATCTGCGATTCTTTGTTTGCCCCTTTGGAGTTTTAGGGTTAACACAGCTTTGCTGCACTTACAGACTGCAACAAGGCTGTTAAAAAGCATTGGTCCTTCAGTCAGTGTCCATCCTGAGGACAAAGAGGCTGGGTGAAGCCACTTGTGTAAAGTGAGGAGGAGGACTGGCATTAAGAAGTCTGCTGAGTTTGCATCTGTAGCCTCTCCAGAAGTGGGTGCAGAAAGCTATTGCCAAGCAAGCAGGCTCATTTTGGTGGTGTTGAGCTGCCAGGTGGCATGGCTGGAAGATGCTTCCAGAGTTGCAATGGGACAGCTCTAAAGCCAGCTTCAGACCTCAGTTTCCTAGAGGAAGGCCTCTGCTGTTGGCCCCACATCTTCCTCCTGCCCCTGCACAGCACTATTTCAGTGACCTGAGAAGTAGTTCAGTGTTTCACATTCCCTAAATTTTTCTAAACCTTCTCTAAACTGCGTGACCGTACTGCCAGGAAGGATGTTGAGGATCCCATCTCTTCCCTTCAGCAGCTCATCCTGGGGAAGTGCAATGAGAACATGAGGAAGAAAACCTTTTTTTTTTTTCCTTTTTTTTTTCCCTAATAGTGTGGGGAGCAAAACACGTAGGTTACATCCCACATCATAGACACATCATTTTGTTGTCACTTCTCCACCATGTTTATTCTATGCTGTTCCTCTCCAGACCGGCTCATTGGTCAGGCTTTACTCACAAGTGTCTGTGTGTGTTTCCACCTTGCATTTTTTACTCTTCCACACCATCCACCAAACAGCTCCTCTGAATGCAAGATGTTCTTGGTGCATGGGGAGCTTTCCCTGTTTGCACTGTCCGTGAGGGGAAAGCATAAGTGGATGCTTATTGTTGCCCCTTGGGACAACACAGAAATGGAGGACAGAGGGACATCAGAGAGATGCAAATTGTGGTGCTGTGATGCTCTGCATTGCCAAGAAGGTAGATCTCAATAGAAATATTTAAGTTAGAGCTAAAGCTGAATACACTTCATGTTCTAGCAGGTGCAGCCCAAAAACAGCATCCCAAGGACAGCTGGGGCAGAAGTGATTTCCCCTTTTGTCTCTATCCAGGGGAGCTGGCATAGCTGTGGCCTCTGCTGAACTGGGAGGCAGTGCTGTAACATAATCATTGCATTCACTTTGCACATGGCACTGCTTGGTGTGAAGCAGGGTGGCTCCATCTCTGCACTAGACCTGCATGGCTGGAGGTGCTTCCTGGTCTGTGAGCTGCTCTCTGAATCTCCACTGATAGAAAAAGTGACTAGCATGAAGCACTGCAGGTTTCCTCCTTCCTAAAAACAGGCACCATTTGACTCCCTTCCCTT